ATCAGGAGGGGCTTGACCAGGAGGTTTTGTGCTGGGCCATGTCTGACTGTGTGCCACCAAGGCCAGCTTGGTCTGAGAGGTCACTGAGGACCTGGCACCCATCTTGATGGTGGGGGGTACCCAGTTCCTGACCTGCTGGTGGGAGATTCACAGTGCCTGACACGGGGGTACAGAGTGCCTGACATGGTGCTGGGGGGTTACAGCCATCCCTGCCCCACACAGGGGGTCCCTCCCGCCCCGGTGGGGGTGTCAGTAGCCACAGAGAGGGCAAGGGGCCTGACGGGGCATTTACATCTTTGTAGAGGGGCTGCTCCTCGGGCGCCGGGTGCTGTGCCGGGCTGCTGCCGCCGCTGCCCGCCCGCGGGGCCCCGGCAGGCGGCTGCGCTGGGGCTGGACCATCCCCCGGCTTCTCCTCGACGGCCGGACGGGGGAAGGGGCCGGCGGCGGGGCGCTCCCGGCCGCCCTTCTCCGGCAGACCCCGGGCGGGGGGAAAGCGGCCGCCGGCCGCCAAGGGGTCTCCGCCGCGGGGCTCTTCCTCGCCCTCCTCCTCCTCATCCTCTTCCTCCTCCTCGGGGGGCTTGTGCCCCTCGACGTCCACCTCGGGCTCGTCTTCCTCCTCCTCGTCCTCCTCTTCCTCGCTGCTCTCTTCGCTGGCGAAGCTGCAGCTGGTGCCTCCGGGGGAGAGGAGGCGGTGCGCGGCGTGCGGAGGATGCGGGTGCCTCTCGCACCCCGCATCCTCGGGGGGCGGCGGCGGCGGCGGCGGCAGCAGCAGCTGCAGGGGCGAGGCGGAGCGCGGGGGGCCGCCGCCTCCGTGCAGCTTGGCCAGGCTCTCCGAGTCCTCCTTGCCGCCCACCGGGCGGAAGGCGCTGGAGTGGTGGTACCCGCCGCCCGCCTTGCGCCCGCCCGCCGCCTCCAGCAGGTGCGGGTGGTGCGGGGGGACCCGCCCGCCGCCGCCGCCGCTGCCCCCGTCGGAAGCGGCGGGCGAGGCGGGCTCGGCGCTGCCACCGGGGGGCGACTCGAACAGCGGGTCCCGGGCGGCGGCGGCGGCGGCGGCGGCGGGCGCGGACGGGGGGGCAGCGGCGGCGGGCGGTGTCCCCAGCCCCGCCGGGCCCGTGCCCAGCCCCGCCGGCCCCGCCTCGCCGCCGGGCTCCGACAGGTCCAGGAAAGCCTGGCGCAGCAGGCCCGCCCCGTCCCCCCCCAGCGAGCATCCCAGGGCGCCGGGGGGCTGCGGCGGCGGCTGCAGGTAGGTGGGTACCGGCAGCCCGCCCGGGGTGCGCGGCGGCCAGAACATGCAGAAGGGAGGGTAGAAGGCGGCGTCCTTCCTGCCCGGCCAGAAGAGCCCCGAGAGCCCGCCGCCCGCCGCCGCCGCCCCGCCGGCCTTGTGCGCGGCCGCCCCGCCGAGGGCATCACCGCCGCCGCCCTCCTCCTTCTTGTGGCAGAGCCCGAAGGCGGCGGCGGGGAAGCCGTAGGGGTGCGGGAAGAGCCCGCCGCAGCCGGGGAACTTCTGGAGCATGCCGCCGAAGGAGCCCTTGCTGGGCACCGGGATGACGGGGTAGCTCCGCGGGCTTTTGCCGCCGTGCGCCGCTGCCACCGCCTCCTGCAGCTCCTCGTCCTCCTCGAAGCGCGGCCGCTTCTGGTGCAGGTCGGGCGGGGCGGCCAGGAGGTGCGGGCTCAGCAGCCCGCCGCCCACCACCGCCGCCGCCTTCACCGAGCCCAGAGGGTGGCAGGCGGCGGGGGCGGCGGCGGCGGGGGCCGGCGGGGCGGGCGGCAGGGCGCGCTTGCGGCTGCCGCCGTTGAACATGGCCTTGACATCCTCCCAGGCGAAGACCAGCTCATCCTGGGGGCTCTTGTCGGTCAGCTTCAGGTGGCGGCGCCAGGAGTTGAAGTTGGCGGCGTCGGGCTGGGTGTACTTGGCGTCGGGGGTGCGGTGGGAGTGGAAAATGAACTTGTTGGGCGAGAAGTACATGCTGCAGTAGCTGCACTTGATGCACTTGGCCCGGGAGCTGTTGTAGCGGGCCGGGATGAAGCTCCCGCGGCATCCCCAGGCGCACTCGTGGGATACGTCGAAGGCGAAGTTATCCGGCAGTTTGGGGGGCCGGTTCTCCCCCAGGAAGGACTTGCAGAGCCGCTCTGCCTCCCTCTTGGTGATCATGCCGCAGCGGCGGGAGGAGATGGGCATGGCCCCGGCCCGCCGCAGGATCTCCAGCTGCACCGGCGTGCACTGCACGCAGGTGATGCCCAGGGCCACCCGCCGGTTGTGGATCTCATTGTAGCTGAAGTTTTTGAGGAGGGTGTTGGAGATCTGCGCCAGGCACAGCCGCTCCTGCCCGTCGATGACCAGCGAGACGATCGGGATGCCGTAGAGGATCACCTGCCCCACCTGGTTGGGCTTCATGGCGGCGTGGCCGGCCCTCGGCTGGTTCATGGGGTCCGGCGGGTACGCGCTGGACGGCGACGGCAGCAAGATATCGGTGGGGCCGGGCAGCGGGCTGGTCGCCATCGTCTCAGCGCCGAGGGGGCTGCTCTGCTCTAGCTGCGGGAGGGGAAGGGCACAGAGACACAGCGCCGTCAGCCGAGCGCTCACAGGGACGGGGGGGTCCCCGCCGCACGCACCCCGTCCTCCCTCCCCCCGCTCCTCTGGTCTGCCGGCATGCGGAGGCGCTGCCCGTGGGGAGGTTTGCTCAGCGACCCCGAGTCCCCCAAACCTCCTCTGTCCTCGCCGGGGGTGTCCCCGGAGCTGTCCGCCCCCGCGCATCCCGGCTCTCCGACGTGCGCATCCCACCGCAGGTGTGGAGATGGCGGCACACGAGCGAGCCCGTCCCCGTTTGGAAGAATCCCCGAACCCACGGGCGCTTCCACCCCAAACACGCAGCAGAGCCCCGTGTCCGTCTCCTCGCCCTGGAAACCCGCCGCCACCCGGGAGGGCTCCGCGCGGAGCCTCCGCGGGCACACGGCGACCGAGGAGGGGCCCCGCCACAGGGAAGAAGAACAAAAAAAACCCAAAGTTTCGCTGCTCCCCGCGGCTGCCCGGGCATCCTCCCCGCCCGGCTCCCGTTACCTCCGCGGCCGCTCTCCCACCGTGCCGCCGCCGGACCTTCCTCCTCCCGCTCCTCCTCCTCCTCTTCCTCCTCCTCCTCCTCCTCCTCCACCTCCTCCTCCTCCTCCTCCTCCTCCTCCTCCTCCTCCTCCTCCTCCTCCAGCCGCCGCCGGCAGGGAGGGAAGCGCATCCCGCGCCCGGCGGAGCCGCGCGGCCGGACCGAGCCCCCCGCCCCCGGTGCGGCCCCGCGGGCGCTCTGACGTCAGCGGCCCGGGGGGGCGGACGGGCCCGGAGCCGCCGCACGGCCCCCCCGGACGGTGAGAGGCGAGCGGGGCTGGGGGCGGCTCCCCCATCCCTCTCGTCCTCCCTCCCTCCTTCCCTCCCTCCCCGCTCCGGGAGGGGACGCGGGCGCCCCGTCGGGGCCCGGCCTCCCGCCGCCCCCCGAGCGCTGCCCCGCTCCCCGCGCACGGTGTCCCGGCGAGAGGCCGGAAGGGTGGAAGGTGGAATGAGCTTTGGATTTATTTTATTTAGCTTTTTTCCGCCTTCCTCTCTTCCCTCCGCCCCTTCGCGGTCTGAGTCAAATCGCTTCCGAGAAACGGAATATTCTCCTTATGTACCCCGCGTCTGTTCGGAAACGATGTTTTCTAGGGGATCGGGAGAAATTACAGGGTAGAGGAGGAGAAAGAGAGGAAAAGTTGATTTCTCGCCACAACCGAGTCCACACGAGCACGAACAGCTTCTGTATCCTCACTGCCATTCCCAAAACCACCGCAGTCATTCACCAGAACCACTTTCACAAGCACCCAGGCCCAGATTCTCGCTCCCACAAAGACCAACACGGCGCAAATATGTTCTGCTGGGGTTTGTTTAACTTTCCCCCCTTCCCTTAATTGGTTTATGTCCCCACCTAAGGAAAAAAAAACAAACAAAAAAAACCCCAGCAAATAGGCTGCACAACGGTGGCGGCTTCTGCTTTTTTGCCTTTTTTTTTTTTTTCTTTTTCTTTTTTAGTGAATACAGTGAACTGAAAATGTAGATTTTTTTGCACGAATCACCTCCAAAAGGTTGTGGGTCCCAACTGCCACTCTGCGCAGCGCTGGGAGAGGACGGGGCGACCCCGCCGCGACCCCCCTACCCCAAGGCAGAAGGCCAATACTGCTCAACGCCGCTGCTTTCCAGGGAGGAAAGCTGCAGAAAAACGGCTAAACCCCGGGAAAATTAAAAACTCCTTCCTAGCCAAAATGGGGAGACAACTGGGCAGTCAAGTGTTTCTTCTGATTTACCCTTCTGATTTATTTTCCTTTTGCAAAAATATTTGTATCTCTCTTTTTCTCTCCATGCACATGACCAGTACTTAATATTTCTGCACATTTAACTATGAAAATTTTTTGATTTCCTTTTGGTTTGTCTCGGTCTTTTTCTCGGGCATCACAGATCCAGACGGAAATCTCTGCACCGACCTTTCCCAGGACATCCACACTAAAAAAGCTCACACCCTCTCTGCTCTATCCGGGTATTGCTCGGGTCCTCGATAATAATAATAATAATAATAATAATAATAATAATAATAATAATAATAATAATAATAATAATAATAATAATAAATCTCTCCTTATTCCTTCTGTCACTTCCTATTAAACCTTGCTCTTCTCCGTGTCGCAACTGTCACAGGGAGACTTCCCCCTTTCCCCTCCCTCCTACTTTTTTCACGATCCTCTTCTTCACGGAGCCTGCTGCTTTCGTGTGAGCAATGGCTATAAGCCTCACATTGGTGACATTTTAATCAATGCTTCCTAGCCAGACTGACATGAATTTTACACTTCAAAACTCTCCTCCGCCAGCTAATTGATTCAAATTGTTTTATTGGTTAAACCCGTGTCACACATTGTGTGATCTATTACCACGCCTCGGAGAAAATCTCCCCTCCTGTCTCCGCTCCCAGGTCGGCTCCAGGAGGGACGGGGGGTTTCGGGGAGAAGCCGCTCGGTCCTGCGGGTGCTCGGTGCCTGCATCCCCGCGGCGGCCCCGGGCAGGGCGCTCCCCTCTGCCGTGGTCACTCGGCGGCTTTTCCCCGGCCGCTCCCGGGAGAACCGGGGATGGGCAACTTCGCCCCAGGCTCTGAGCCCGGCGTTGGAAGAGGACGAGAAGCGGTCGCAGGAGGCGAAAGGGATGAGAGGGCTTTGCAGAACGCCTTCAGCGAAGGGAAGAGGCGGAAAACTCAGGCTCGGGACAGGGTCGTCGCTAGCCAGCGACTGTGTTCTATTTTGTGGTGACTAAACGAAAAGTAAAACTAAACTGCCTTTTTTTTTCCCCTTTTCTATTCTTTTTTTTTTTTTCTTTTTGTCACCTGCTTGGTGCTGTTGACCCTCCTTTATTCCGTTGTAAAAACTGAGTGGCTTCCTCCATTCCCTTTAAAGGGAAAACTCAAACCCGCGGGTCGGGATGTTTTAGTTCCCGGAGGGAGGAGGAGCAAGGGCCACTGAATTTGGGGCAGACACTGACCCACACCAGCACCGTGGAGAAGCGGGACGAGAATACACCGTTCCCTACTTTTTCTCACTTAAGCCTGCTGGGAAACCTCATGGGGTGGCAGGACCCCAGTATGGGCATGGCGGGGGTGGCTTGGCCGGGAAAGGCTGGCCCACACAGGGCCCGGGAGGCTGCCGCAGGTGTCCCCAGGCGGGCGGGCGAGGCCCGGCGGGGCTGCTCGGCCACCGCCAGCCCCACCGGGGTCTCCGCGGGTCGGATGGAGCCCACCCTGACCAGGACGAGGGGCAGAAGGGAATTCCCGCTGGGGCTGGGGTGTCCACACTCCCCCTCGCGGGCAGGTGCCCATCTGGGGGCTCCTGTCCCGATGTCGACTCCCAGTTTCTCCCGTTCATTTCGTTCCTTGCTGTTGCCATTTGGCTTGGAGTCACCTCTCAGCAGAGGAGTGGAAAAGGTGGAGAAACTTCTCGCAGGAGCCTGGAAAGGCTAAGCAGGAGCCCTGACTCAGTTTCGCTCTTCCCTTCTCTGTCGCGATTCTGCCTCGGCACGGGAGGCGACAGCAGCGCCTTCTCCCGCCGCGGATCGCTCCGTGTGGAAACGAGCAGCGGGGAAAAGCGGCCAAGTCCAAACCACCCCAGCCCACCCTCGTGGCCTTTATTTACTTCCAGGGCGTTTAAATATTGTAGCAGAGGCGCCACGAGAAGCAAGATAACCTTGGTGCGTTTAAAAAACCACAAAGAAAGCCACCCCCAACGCGAATCCATTCCCTCCTCCCACCTCTCCACATCCCATTGAAACTTCCAGCCGTGTAAGTAGCAGACACGCAAGGTATTGTTATAAAACCTCTTCTAACAAAATTTAGACAGCAAAGTTTGGTGGTTTTTTTTGTTTTGTTTTGGTTTTTTGTTTTTGTTTTTTTTTTTCTTTTAAATAATTTTGCGTACATTTCGCTTGCATCGCTTGGTCTAGAGCGAAGCTCTTTTCTAAGTAGTGGTTTGTTTTTTTTAATCGCACTTTATTATATTAAGCAGAAAGGGCATTTGGAATAGAGGTGGTCCCATCTGGAAAACCCCGGAGCTCATTTAGATCACATCACTTCGGGCTTTTGTCTCTGCTCTTGAATAACCCAGCTAGACACAACAAAAGGGTAGAGATCTCTACGTGGAGTTTTTTCAGTGGCAAAAGGAAGCCTCGGAAAGATGCTTCCATATTCCTAATAACGAGGGGGGAAACGACTCAACGGGATCTTCTCTTGGCTTTTGAAAGACTCCAGGAGAGTTCAGGGATGGGGCATTTTTAGATAGTTTTTTACCCTGCCGGTAGCTGTAAGCCAGCACGCCGGCTGAAGGGAAGGAACCGAGGACGGCACCTTTTGTCTGACGGAGGTCTCTTAAATTCTCAGTTTAATGTGCTCGGAGCGACCCAAACCCGAGACTCCGGTCCTCGCCGAAGGTACGTGCAGACCTGAGCCGGGAGGAGCGGTGCCCCCGCCGGGGGGAGGCTGCCCGCCAGCCCCCAGCATCATCACCCGATAGGAACAGCACCTCGGAAAAAAAGCCATTCATCATTTTATTTTATCCTGCCACGGGAAGGGACTGGGGGCCCGGGAGGAGATGGGCGCTCCCTAACCCTCCGTTCAGCTCTTGGAAACACGAGGGGGATGATTTCTGTTCTGCCTGAGGATGGGGAGGGAAAAAGAGCTGCAAGTTTAGGTGTGCGTGAATTAACATCCCAGGGAGAGGTGGACTGGGGGGCAGGGGGGGGTTAAAGAAAGATCCCAAACGCAAAAAAGCCACCTTAGCTATTGATTTTTTTTTTTTTTCCAAACGCATAAATTAAAGAGCTCTGAACATTTGCATGAGAAACATGCCTGCTCCGAAGTATTTAAACAGAGCAACAAATTTCCACGGTGGCGAAGCAGGGCCCCAGTCGGGCTGTGATGGGGAGCAGCGATCCCAAACTTCCGAGAGAAACGT